TTGACAGTGTCACTCAAAACTCAAATGCGGTTATGTTTGGACGTCACCGACCTTTTTCTTCATGGCTGAACTGGACATCCCCTTCAGAAGACACGGTGGAAGTTTGCAACGAGCTGCGGATCAGGTGACTTCTTGTGCGCAGCTCTCCTCTTCCTCCCACTCAGCTGAGGCACACAAATTTGCACTTAGGTGTTCACTTCCACTGGAGCCACTTAAGCAAGCGTGTCACGCGGTGAGAAACTTAAAAAAAAACAACAACAAGACTACACGCACTAACAAGGCGAAATTAGAAGTTCTAAATAATTACCTAACTTCATGCAAGTCCACTTTCCGACGAGTAGCAAAATCTAAGCTAAAGCTAACTCAGCTAGCGAGACATACGGTAGATTCATGCCATGCAGCTTCAGCGCAAGCTAATAAAAAAAAAATCAACTGCTATTAGAGTATCTTACCCAAACTGCACAGAAAGTTTACTCGTGTTCAACCGAGAGTAGACATAAGTTATTGGCGTAAAAGAATGTACATTACTTGATGATATCAGGTACAGGCAAGAATTGAGATCAGCTGCTTCCTGTTTACGCCGCAGTCACATGACGTGACGTATGCTCCCAGTTGTGGCTGACAGTAATAAAAAAATAAATAAATAATACGTAGTTTCCGGGTGCGTCACAATTGTTTGAGTTTCCTTAAAGGGGAATTTTGTAGATAATTAACTATGAACGTTATACTGTATCTGTACTATTTTTGGGCTGTTTATTCTATAACGCACATAATAGTAGTAATAAGAATACAACTTTTTTTTTTAAAAGGGGTCATACATCAATTTATCACACTGCCTGTCGTCATTCGGATCACTGGTAAACTCGAACCTTTAGAGCAGTTGTTTGCAAAGTATGCCGCCAAATGAATGTTTTTTTTTTTTGTCAGCCACAATAAATAAAAAAGTCGTATGATTTAATCAAAACAAAAACATTAAGCAACCTGCATCAAAATGTGATAGTACAAAAGTTGAAAACAGACCACTATTTTATTGGGGGGGGGACCTAACGTAAGATGAATGTTACACGATTTTTTTCAAATGTAATTTTTAAAAAGTATCCTTAACGTGTCACGTTTTTTAGTTAAAAAATATTAATACAGGTTTTTTTCCTGAAATGTTTAACTGATTAGCATAATTTGAGCATATTGAATTGTTTTTTAACATATTTCAGAACCACGAGGCTATGGGACTGAGAACTGACAAAACAAAAACCTGTGATGCACGGTGACCAAGTGCCACAGTTGTCTATCAATTCTCACCAAAAATTAGCTTGGAAATGCTCCAGCTAACGTTCAACCCTAATGAGAATAAGTGCTATTAAAAAAAAAAAACGGTATAGGAAATAGTTTCACATTGGCACGGAGTTGAATAATTTATTGTGAAGACCAACTAGATACAAGTATTATTATAAAAGTTTATTGTGTGTAATCTGCAAACTGTAACCTGGAACCAAACGATCAGTAGATTACCACACAAGGCCTTGTCATCAGGAAAGGATACGTAATGTCTCTCACACAGTAGGACAAGAATAACCGGTCATACAGTTTGAAGAATAAAAGACTTTCCCGCACCAATGCTTCTTCACTGCAATTCTATGGTATTGGCTTTTATATATGGTAAAAAGAAATACCACGCCATTTACTTGTTCGCAAATTCTTCCGTGTTTGTGTTTTACAATAACATTACATATGAACATCTCCTACAACCAGCATTCCTGTTGGAATCCAACATTTCAAATGTCTGTCAATTGTTATAAACACAAAATCCACAAGGGTTATGCTCCACAGAGAAATTCACTAATGTAAAGAGGAGAAACGGATATGATGTGAAAGTAATATTCATATAATGTATATGGACAGGTCTCTGTGGTCGCTCCGCTGCACTTAGCCTTTACATTTGATCTCGGAGTCTGGCCAGCCTTTGGGACAGCTCATCCTTTAAACGACAACAAGCAAAGACAATCATTGATTTGGACAGGTTAGGACAACAATAGGATAACACCCCCTCGCCTCTTCCCAAGGACTTAATTCTTGTAGTATTAGTCTTTTTCAGAATTTCCCGAATATTTCTTCCTGCTATTGAGTGTAAGTGCTTGATGGGAAATTATTCAAAAAGCCACTTCACCTGTTCTGCTGAGGCCACGCTGGCGCCCACCGATCCCGTCTGTCCCTGAGGGAGCTCCAGGTTCAAGTCCAACCTAAACAAAGTGCATCAAACTCAAATAAGCAGCCTTCAATCCTCCTCAAATAAAAACTAACTTGCGCACTAATTTTACGCAAGTTCAATTCTTTCCTAAAATACATTACCCTGCTTCATCTGCCATCTCGTGTAACAATGAATCCACTTGGGACTGAAACACACATCAAGGACCGCGTGAGTGCATATGTTGCAAATAAAGTGCACCGTGTAGAATGAAATCTGTAATTGTGTCGTGTACCTGTGGAGTGGTCAGTGTTGTCGAGCTACTCATTGTGTCTTCCATCTGCGCTGTCTGAACATCCAGCGTCTCAAACTGGCGCTCAAATTTATCCATGAGACCTGAGATCTGCAAGGCAAAAAGCGATGGAATGATTTGTCCACAACATCATCGAGCACAGCCCAAGAGCCTTTCATAATCAATTTTAGATTACGTAATGTGCACCCACAAAAGCTACATTTTTCTCACAAAGCTTTATATGTCTGTCTCATGAAGTGACATAATCATGATACTAGAAACAGCCTTTAGGATGCCACAGTTTAGTTCACCTCCACTGCAATCGAAAACCACAATAATCGAAAATCAAACGGCACCCAAAATCTTTTGTTTAGATGGCCATTTTATTCTTCTGCATATTTATGAAAAAGGCTACCTTCTCCAGATTCATCGACTTCAGAGTAACATCCATGCCTTTCACCACTCCAGCCATAGATTTTGTGACCTGAGAAGAAGTACATGGTTACTAAAGTGCAACACATACAGACCACATTTTCTGTTCATAAAAGTACAATACAGAGAGTACATCTCAATCGCATACACACATATGCACGCACACGCAAAACAAAAATCACTCACTGCATCTACAAGCTAATGCTGACTCCACACAACAAATGGGTTCGGTTTTGATACCTAATGTGCAATTTTTATGCATCGTTATCATGAGAATAGGTTTGAAAACGTAATTTGTAGATGAAATGTGATAACATTTTACTGTAATAAGGGGAGCTGAAATGAAGAAGATTATGACGAGTGCCCAAAACTATCTGCTAGTATTACAATATAATTAATTTGATCCCAAAATATGAGTTTAATGACTAACTCAATTGGCATAAAACTTAATACAGTTTGTGTAAAGTGCTAGTGCACATCTGTATGTCCACATCAGGTTGTGCTACCAAATGATGAGTCTCATATGAAGGTGGTTTGTGTCCCCTGAAATATACTTTTCATAAGTTTGACCCATAAAAGCTTCCACAATACGGATTATACCATTCGCTTTAATAAACTCAAATTCATCCTATGTGTATGGTGTTGATGCTTTATGATCCTTTCTGTCTTAAGTGCATTGCCGCCATCTTGTGGCACCTATTCATAATCACAAACTCCTTTTAGGGAGAGGAAATTATTCTCAGGCTTTCAATATTTGGCAGGGCTCACTGTATAGTGTACATTCAAAGTACCTGGTTCATTGTGACAGCAGTTTGGACCCTTGCAGCCACTGCATCCACCCGAGCACTCATCCTCAAGTAGGTCACAGACTGGTTCTTCTGTCTGATGGCGTTCTCTGCATGGATCCTCGCCACATCCATGTTTCCCTTCTGGATGGCCTTAAGACAAACGCACAAACGGTATCAACTGTCTACAGCAGAGTCTCATAACCAGTATTTAGGTCACATACTTTCTTGACTTTTGCCTTCTCCAATTTCTCTTCTTTGTCGCATTTCTTGGAGTTTCTTTGAAGTTCTTTGGCGGCAAACTTTAAATTGAAAAGATGCTCTAGGATATGAGGTTAATGGAAATACAAGAAACCGTGGCAGATACTTTTGAATGACAACTGCTGAGCGTGACTCAGAGCTGTCAACAAAACAGTACAGTAGAAACATTCAAGTCCTTACGTAACAGACAGAGCAAAACTGGAAACTGATCTATCAGAAACCATTCAAACTAAACAATCCAACAACTCACGAACCATTTGAGGCCTCAGTTGCTAGTGACAGATATAGGTAATTCAGATACTGTAGTATTTTATCTTTTATGTCTACTATCAATTAAGTTGGTTCAATAGAGTTGTTGAATGAGGCTGTCATATCTACACGATCATTCGACCACATTTCGATTACTGTAAAATATATAAATACAATCATAATAATAAAAACACGATTCCATTTGGTGGGCGTTTCAATAATAATCCGACCAATAGCAACATATCTTTTCTAAGGCCGAAGAACAGTTCAAACCGGCGTTTACGGTAGACTGCATAATTGAAGCTTTACTTTTTAATCCAGCAAGTATATGACGGTTTAGCAATATTTCTAACATGTAAACAAAACCCGTATCGTCCAAAAATATCTTGTTATGTTCGGCGCCCGGACCTTCGCAATGGCATTCCAACAGTTCTCTTACTCAAACTGTCTTTTCGAAGGATACTATCCATGCTTGGCATTCTGCGGTTGCTTTGACGGTCACAAAGTTGTTTCCCAAAGAAGCGCCTTCAAAAAAATGCAAAATAAAGCCGGATTTGTCAGTAAATCCGTTGGTCTTTTCTGGTTTCGGTCTCCTTTTAGTCGTCGCCTTCCGCACTTCCTGGTGTCTTATCAAAATATGACTGACGTCACCGTCATGTGGTGTTGCCTAGTTTGGCGTAACAAAGAGGCTAGACCCCGCCTTCCTGAGCTTTGTGCGTCGAAGTTGCTGCCATATTGGATGTGGAAAAGTTGAACACTAGTTGGAGATGCCTCGTTCTACTTTTTATTTTTATTATTATGTTTTTGCTGCTTGGAGATGTAACAACTGTTTTAAACGAGGTAAAATGCTGATAATAACCGTCTGTGTGGGATGTAAATAACAGGAAAGATTTTCTGCCAAAGAAGACCAATTCTATTCACGAATGAACATGAAGTAGACATAGTGTACAGTATTTATTATTGTATTTTTAGTTACCCCAGAGCCTTGAGTTTGACACCAGTGGTTTTGGGTCAGACATGACACATTCAACTTGGACGCGCTCACGTATCCTAGCAACGGACCAACTCCGGAGGCCAACCCTCCCAATCAAAACTGTGAATGAAATATTTACACACACAAAAAAGATATACATAACCGCAAAAATAACAACGCAACTGTTTCCCGTGAGTCGAGACGTTCCGCTCATGACGTTGGTTACGCAAAACTATCGTTGTAATTGGACCGGACTGTGAGGTGGGCGGGGCTAGCCCTTGAACGATGATAAAAGATTTACGTTGCGTGGATGGCGGTGGGGGAGAGTGGATGACTCACTCGGTCCCCTCCGATGCGATGTTTCACCCCGCAACAGCTCGGGCAGCAGTGCAGTGGCACGCCGGCGGAGTAGCGTCACTAATGGTCGCTGTGCTTCAAGCAGTCCAACTCGCCCCCCAACATCCTTAACATACTCTCAACTGATCCCATAACATACAACACTTCTGCTCGGACACTTTGAGTGGGCTCCAAGTTGCAAGAACGAGCGTCGTGATTTGCCGTAAATGTTCGTGACGCCAGATTGCCATGGAAACAGTGCTGCTGTACTGAGGAGGGGATAACTGTGCGTGGTGCCAGCGTTTTAACCTCTTTTTAAAGAGGTCTGATAAACCTTTTTGGATATATCCTCGAGACTTTTGTTGTTGTTTTGCCTTTCTGTGACTGTGCGTTCAATTTTAATTCGTCAGGAGAAAAAAACAACACAAAACAAACAAAAACAAACAAACAAGAAAAAAGGTAAGTTTCTTTTACTCACTCATGTTTCTCCATAATATCCTATCAACCTATTTACTCAAAAAATAGAGGACTTTCAAGTCATTTCTAATTTGACATTAGTGAAATAAATATAAAAAGTCATACTTCAAAATAAAGTTGCGCATAATTTTCTGTATTCATACCGTATAGTTGCACTTTCCTTTAATCTATGATGGACTATTTGTTGTGTATTTGTACCAGTGAATGCAGCGTTTTCATTGAACAGCTGTATGACTCATAGTGTTCATGTACTTAAAAAAAAAAAAAAGCCAAGTGGAAGTGGGGGACAGATGATTTAAACCCTTAAATTTCACGACACCCCTTAAAGAATATTCATATTCATATAAGACACTGATGCTGACCATTTAAATGTGCTGTTTGGCCACAAAATCATCGAGACTATCCAAGTGCGTCACATGACTTGGGCCAGTGCAAAACACATCAATACATAACAATCTTCTAGAATCTAGTCATAATTTCACTTTATTAGTTTTAATTTTATTTAGATGTGTGAAGTAAATAAGTAAATAACACGCAGCGAACAGTGCTCATAAAATAGACAGCAATTGTGTTTACTTGGGCCAGTGCAAAACACATCAATACATAACAATCTTCTAGAATCTAGTCATAATTTCACTTTATTAGTTTTAATTTTATTTAGATGTGTGAAGTAAATAAGTAAATAACACGCAGCTAACAGTGCTCATAAAATAGACAGCAATTGTATTTACATCAGCAGAAAAAATAATTGATTGTTTTTTTTTTTTTAAGTATACATTGGCCAATAATGACATGCTAAACGGTGCAATATTTTCTGCTACTTCATCAAGATTCTATTTTTAGTTTACAATAGTACTGACAGGATCATCTTTGACCTTGTCATTAAAATGCATCAGTTAGTGTAATGTAAACACAACCCATCCCCCCACCACCCATTCCATTTGTGCCACTTAACTCAAGCGTGGCAACGCAACTGTATATAGGGACAGTAAAAATGGAAATATCTCTTTCGTATTCAAGTAATATAGATCATCATAATACAACCGCAACACAATAATGTGGGATTTCACATTATTCACAAAATTTCACAGCATTCCCCTCCTCAATCACCCCCTATGTACTCTCACAAATGTGTCTTAGTAGCTTTTGATATGGTTTTGACGTTGATTGCTGAAATTGACATTGGCCTTGAAGCGTGAACGAGTGAATGAGTCATCCCACAAATAATGAAGCCTCAATACAGTGCAATGCTCTCTCCTCAAAACAACCCGAATAAAAGCACCTCATTATGCACAGATGCCCTCGAGTGTATAAACCGCATCACATGGTTAGATTCATCACCGCCACTTCACAGGAGAAGAGCTTATAGAGGGCCAGTGCAGACGACATTCACCATTTTACCTCAACGCTACATCTTGCCGGGAAAACGTCTGAATCATTTCAAGGAGCGAATGTATGATGGATGAAATTGTCTTGTTTTCATATGTACCTGTATATACTGTAAAGTATATCTTGTCATGGCAGGCAGAGCAACTTTGGAACAGCAGGTTAACAGTTTGGGAAAAAAAATGCAAAATGGTAACAAGTGGTTAGCGATACTCTGCCTCCCGGCTCGTATCGAACTGCCCTTGAGCAAGGCGGTAAATAGTATTTTGTATGTAAATACTACATTATTTGGAAGATTTTTCACTAAATTAATATCCTGTTCCTTTAAATTTGATAGGTAGATTGACAGATATGAGATAAAAAGTCTACACACCCCTGTTCAAATGACAGGTTTTTGTGATACATAAAAATGGAACAAAGAAAAGTTATTTTCAAACTTTTTCCGCCATTAATGTGACCTACAACATACATCCATCCATTTTCGAATTCGCTTATCCTCGCAAGGGTCGCGGACGTGGTGGAGTCTATCCCAACTGTCTTCGGGCAGAAGGCGGGGTACACCCTGAATTGGTTGCCAGCCAAAGACAAACGACCATTCGCGCTCACAATCACACCTAGTAGAGCATTCCAGCTTTCGACAACATCCTAGAAAGATGCGTTAGCTTCAATTTAGAATGCATATTTGTGCGCTGTGATTGACTGGCGACCAGTCCACGGTGACCCATCTCTCGTTCACAGTCAAATGGGAGAGGCCCAGCTCAGCCGTGACCTTAGTGAGTGTCGTCAGCTGCATTCTTGGTCAATGTGTCTTGTGCCAGCCTAAAAAAAACCAAAACACTAGGTTCTGGCATTCAAAACTTCTAATAGGCCACCTCTGTTTACAGGCAAGCATGACGGAGCGTCCAACCGAGAAACGATTCCACCACTTGACCTTGGAGCAACTCCAGGCTTTGGATAAAGTCCTGACCGAGGTCATTCCCATCCACGGGCGAGGGAATTTTCCGACACTGCAGGTGAGTGCCAAAGACATCATTCGTGTGGTGAAGGATCGACTTGTAGAAAGAAACATCCAGGTGAAGGATATACGCCTCAACGGAGCCACAGCCAGCCACGTCCTGGTGAGGGACAATGGTCTGGACGTCAGGGACTTAGACATTATTTTCGGAGTAGACTTGCCCAGGCAGGAGGACTTCCAGGTGATCAAGGAGGTGGTGCTGAGCAGCCTGAGAGACCTCCTCCCATGTGGAGTGAACAGACGCAAGCTCACCTGCCTCACCATGAAAGAAGCTTACGTGCAAAAGATGGTCAAAGTGTTCAACGAGCACGACAGGTGGAGCCTCATCTCGCTGTCCAACAACAGAGCCAAAACAGTGGGACTGAGATTCGTCAGTGCCCTTCGCAGGCAGTTTGAATTTAGCGTTGACTCCTTCCAGATCATCCTGGACCGCATGCTGGAGTCCTACTGGGAGAATGACAGGAGACAAGGGAGGAAGTTGTCCTCAGATGCCCGGACGTTGGCCTCAAAAGACAGCGAGGGGGAGAACGAAAAGCGAGCTCAGTCGAGCGTCCCTCAGGTCGACTCAAAGATGGCTTCTGGTGGAGAGACAGCGCATCGTCGTGAAGCTGTTGAGGAGGCAGAGCTTCTTCGTTCAGAGACAGAAAAGTGTGAGGGACAGGAGGGGTTAGCGCCCGAGGATGTCGATTTCAAGCTTCACCCTCAACAGGAAGAGCCAAAAATAGGCGCACACTCAGAAGAGGACATCGGTTTTGAGCTAAGGGATGACAAGGAAGCGCTTTCGAAGGGATCTGTTGTGGCTTCATCTCCTCCAGCGTGTGCATGTTTAAAGCTGCAGGTTCAAGATGAGGCCTCTCGTTCGCGTATCTCTATTACGGCACGGGTCGGGAAATCCTCCGTGCAGGATTGTGTCCAAGTGGACTCTGCTGTCCCCGGCCTGCAAGAGCCCCATCATGAGTTCTCCTCTCCTCCCCCGGCGAAGAAAACCTGCAGTATGTCTCCAGACGTTGTACCAGACTACTGCCCCTCGCCAAAACTACAAAGAAAAATGTCGCGCAAGATGATCTGTAGTCCCGAAAAATGGTCCTTGCTCACAGACGTGTCGGATATGACCACTCAGCTGTTTGCACCCATTGAGATACCCGCACCGTTTACGCCTCCTTTGCAAGACGGGGCTCATGGAACAACTTCCTCACAGAGAAGTTCAGCAAGTGTTCTCGGTACAGCTAGCACACACCAGGCTGGACCTGAAACTAATCAGGTTGCTGAACCAACTGTGAAGCCCAAACATTCCAAGAAGCCTCCAGATTGTGACAACGGCGGCCACACGCATGAAGCGAATGTAGGATTGACTCAGGATGTCCGTGCAGAAACTCCCCCGCTCAGCTGTGAATTAAGCTCATGGGAGTCCTCTGTGGTTGTGGAGGCGGAGTGCATGTATGGTGACTTCACCCAGGCCATGGAGCACCTTCGGCAGCGCCTCATTGCCACCCACCACCCCGAGGAGATCCGAGGAGGGGGCCTGCTGAAATACAGCGACCTCTTAGTGAGGAACTTCCGTCCGGCCAGCGAGACGGAGATCAAGTCTCTGGAGAGGTACATGTGCTCCCGCTTCTTCATCGACTTTCCCGATGTGAAGGAGCAGCAGCGCAAGATCGAGGCCCACCTGCATTGCCACTTTACGGGAAGCGAGGAGAGCAGCAAGTACGACTACCTGATGACTCTGCGACGCGTCATCGACGAGAGCACCGTGTGCTTGATGGGCCATGAGAGGAGGCAGACGCTCAACATGATCACCGTCCTAGCTCTGAGGGTGCTAGGGGAGCAGAACGCCATCCCCAACGCCGCCAACGTCACGTGCTTCTACCAACCGGCCCCTTACATGAGCGAGCCCATTTACGGCAGCTACTTCATCGCGCAGGCCCAGCCCTCGCTCGTCTACCACCCCTACCCGGTCCACGTGCACATGCAAAGCGGTCTGGTGTAGCCACGGCGTTGTGCCGACTGGGAGGCGGGAAGGCAGATTTCAGCAAGTGCCAGCACAGGCACTGATGCAAGTTTTGAAAACATGAGGCGCCCCCCCCGGGCACAGTGTCCTTTAATGCTTTGACGTCCCACCTTGGTCAGGACTCAGTGGAGTCCAAAGGCAAAGCATGTGAGCCTTGGTAGAAATTTGGAAAGGAGAGAATTGCAAAGTGGATTATGAACACAGAGAGCACAAAGGAGCCGAGTATGGAAAATGATTATGATGATTCCCAAACTCCAATTCAGATGAAGTTGGGACATTGAGTAAAACCGAAACCCCAGAATACATGATTTGCATATCCTTTTCAAAATCTATTCAAGTGAATACATGACCAAAGCAAGATATTTAATGTTCAAACTTGATGAAATATTGACTCATTCTGAATTGAATGCCTCCAACATGTTCCAAAAAAGCTGGGACACCCAACGTGTTGACCACTGTGTTCTTTTCCTGTAACTACACCCAATCAGTGTTTGGGAATTGTGTACACCAATTTTTGAAACTTTGCAGGTGGAATTTTCTACCATTCTTGCTTGATCAAACAACATCAGTTTCTCGAGAGTCTTGGGTCTCCGTTGTGGTGTTTTGTGCTTCATAATCTGCCACACAATTTCAATGGGAGACAGGTCTGGACTGCTGGCAGGCAAGTCTAGTACTAAACAGTGATGCCCGTTTTTAATGCAGTGTCGCCTGACGGATCGAAAGTCACAGACATTCAGTGATGGTTGGCCACTTAAATGCAGAGATTTCTCCAGATTCTCAGACTCTTTTGATATTATTGACCATATTCCTAAATTTGTTATACCCAATCGTGATACTCAAATTTTCCAAATAACTTGTGGAATATCCCAGACAGGTGTTTTTGAGCATTGCTCCTCCACTAGGTTTTTTGAAATGTGTTGCAGGCATTAAATTCAAAAGAGAATATTTGCCCCCCAAAATAACCCCAAAACATAACATTTATCAGTTAGCACTTTGCAAAAAAATATTATCTTGTCTTTGTAGTGCATTTGATTGAATATAGGTTGAAAAGTATTGCTAGATCATTACCACCTAAAAAAAAACTTGGCTCTATTACCATAATCACTAATGTTAAAATCCAGTAGTGTAGTGTGTGAAAACAAACATTTCTAAATGATTCAATGCAAAAGTACGGTACCTAATAATAACACAACCCAAGTGTACTTCAATGTGCTATACAACAGCACAACAAAAATAACGATTTCACTGTGTTGGCCATATTGGATAGGGAGCGATTTCGAACACAGCCTGTAACCGTTCAGTGAAATGTCGTCATGTGGTTTTACTCCAAGCGTGTGGCGTGAATCAATGTGTAGAATTGTAACAATTATGGTGCGTCAATGGTTTTCGTGTGAATTTTCAGTTTCAGTGGGGACTCATGGAAACATTGAACGTTTGCAAACCTGCTCGTTGTTCGATCGTCTTTTGAATGTCGAAGGAGAACTGGTTTTATCCTTCTGAATCATCTTGATTGAAATACTTGGAAATGCAACATTTGAATCCCATAATAGTACATAACAAGGCTTTATTTGGACTTATTATTTATAATAATGAAATGTCCGTATTAAATATTATATTTCTTTATAGTTTCATTCAGTCATTGACCCTTGGCAAACATGGCTAGTCAGTTAAACGCATCCTGGGTAATACCGGTACGTTGTTTCTCATACAGTATTTACGTTTTATTCTTCGGTGTAATAACTTGATTAAAGTCACTATAAAATACACCTGATTACAAACTTCACTAACCGTTCATTAAACAGCAAAAGAAAGTTTGCCAGCTAAACCTTCCGTACAAAAATGTACAGACGACTTTTCACCCACTATTTGTGACCCTATTTATATAACAATGACATTTATAATAAATGTGAAAGCTGTACTCTATCTTGAATTGATTGCAATTAAATATCTTAAGAGAATTTTTAGATCTGACCCGATGACAAGAGTCGGAAAATTGTATGCCATGTTAAACTCTTCTGTATTCATAGTATGACACGAATGCTATATGACAACAGTTTTATTTGTATCGGGTCATGTTTAAACAATGCGATTAGGTTTCAAGGAGTGTGACAAGCTGAGCAGTGTTTGTCGTGGATTTAGCGGAAAATCACTTGTTGGGATTGTGCAAACATGTTCTCTGCATTGTTCAAGTGGGCTAGATGTCGTGTTTTTAGACGTGCAGTTATGTGTACACGCACTGGCCACAACATTGGGTACACCCGGAGAAGACAATAAAATCCAATTGAAGACGTCACACCTTTACGTTGACGATAATGTTTCATTTTGATTGACACCGTAAGAGAAATATTCATTCAGCAAAATTCATTGCAGTGACAGAATATAAAAATTGGGACAGGTTGCTGCTGGATAGATTCCAGTCCACTCCCACAAACTATTGAATCAATTCATATCGAGTTGGATGTCAACTAATCAAGCGTAACTAAGGTGTTGAAATATATCTTTTTTTGATTTTATTTGCAGTATATAATTGACCTGTGTATCATTGTACCGAATGTTGTGGCTGCTGTGTTTATGAATATACAGTAAACATGAAAAAAAGACACTATCCTAGCACAGGTTGTTCACTCTTTATCTGAGGCTGAAGCACAATTTAAGTGCACATACAGTGGATATGAAAAGTCTACACACCCCTGTCAAAATCAGGCTTTTGTGGTATTTATGAACCCACGATAAATCATTTCAAAACTTTTTTTTTCCACCATTTTACAACCTGTACAACTCAACTGACACTATGTACATGTTGTAAAAATAAACAACCGAGATAATGTGGTTGCGCAAGTGTGTCCATTCTCCAGCTGGTGATGTGGCTAGTGAACCACATTCTGCTTTCATTTAAATTGCAACTGATTAACCCCAAATAAAGTTCGTCTTTTCCTGTCATTTTTTTTTAAAGCAGAAGACTGAAGGTTTAGTGCTAACACTAACTGGTATTTGGAATCGTTCATAATTCCCTCCATCTTTACTAAGACCCGGTTCAAGCAGAAGAAAATCAGCCCCAGCATGATGCTGCCACCACCTTGCTTCACTTTAGGTGCGGTCTTCCATGGCGCGATTGTTTGTGCCAAGCCTATTTTAAAAAAATGATTCATCTTGGTCTCATTGGTTTGTATCACACAAATCTGACATTTCAACAGGGATGTGTATGTTTGTAATATCCACTGTAGATAGCTGTTGTGTTTTCCTGCTTGTGATTCTCAGATGCAATGTTGAATTCATAATGTTTAAACTTTATCTGTTGTGGTAATTGGGCTTTTCCCCCCCCCATGTGTAGCACTCCCCAAAAACTATGGACGTAATCTCGTCATGATACATCAGTGTTGAGTTTGTTTTGCGATGCATGGTAATGAATAAAAATAACATCAAACCGCTCTTTGTCTGGAGTTCTCTCTCTTCTGTTCTCCCCTGGTCAGATCAAATGTGAAATAATTATACGTCATCATCATCATCATCAAATAAAAACGGCAAATTCCTGATGCTTGCTCTGCCAGTACACCCAAGATTCCTTTGAACCAGTGACAAATGCAATCGTATAATTGGCCTTCCTAAAACACGACACTACATGAGAAGGATGCAGTTGTGTGCAAAAAGACTTCAATGAGGGATGACAAGGTCACCTTTCACTTGACCTTTTTTTTGAAGTCACAATTTCCTTCAATGCATTGATCGAGTCTGCAGTTTGCAGGTGTGGCACGGCGCTGTGCGTCACAGCTCAGCCTTGTTTGCTCCTGCTCTGACTCAGCCCGCCTTTCAACGCATTAATGCAGTCTGCCGAAGCGGAACAGTCAGACAGATGTAACAGTCCTTGTTCAGCTGAAACATTTTAAGGCCTTGCCTTTGACGCTCGCTTAAGTACGGACACTGCCTATAGTTGCCAAAGGGATGCTGGAAAATAAGAATCAAATAATATGGAAACTGACTGTCCTGACATATTACAGTATTTACAGACTGCAATATTTTGCGAGCTAGTTTGTAGCATAAATGTTCAGCTATGCTAATTCTTCCAAAATTAAATATTTTTTTGAAAACACAAACATCTATCAATCTAAAGTAATATTAAAGAAATAATTCATTTTCCCAATTGATACAGTCCAATAAATGTCCATCCCGCCCACTTTCAAAAAAGCACCCTTAATGCTATACAGTATTAAAACAGGGGTTGCACACAGAGAACTAAATGAGGATGAAATCCTCATACTTAACGGCAACAATAAAATACAAAAGCCGTTGTATTTTTAAAAATCTTTTATTTAGAAAAAATTATTCAAACACACTGTGTATAAAAAAAACAAGTTTAGTTCTTCCACCCATGGTGGAATGTTTCATGTACATCAACAACTTTGATGCTCGAGACATCTGACAAAATCCTCTACTTGATAAATTAAAAGGAAAAAAAAAATTGTTGACACCAGTTCATGCTTCTGCTTAAAGCACTTCATATCTGTGTTGTCTCTAAAATGGGGGGAAAAAAAACGAACTTGTTCCGAGTTGGCTGATTTGACTTCCCAACTCATGATGGCACAATGTAAAACAGTGGACGCACTGTGAATCCAGTTCGATGACAACTAATTATTAGCTACCGGTACATCCCAAGAGATGAAAAATGGGGTGCTGAAGCATTCGTATTACAATTTTCAACCTACTGTATTATCTTTCTCTACTTTCACCACTGCTAAGCTGCCACATGGAGAAGATAAAATGTGCAAAATATGTCACGTTCCTCCTTTCGGTCAATATAGGACACAGCAATAATCCAAGTAAAATGGAATACAAATCTACCACTGTGAAAGACCGGTGGGATACACAGTCACTTTGATGGGAGCCTTCATGATGGCCTCCATTTAGGAAAAGTACAAATACGAATAGGATGCGGACAAAAACAAATTGGAACTAAAAAATAAACTCGAAAACCAAAAACAACAACAATCAATGTCATTAAAGGGAAGCAAGGGAAGACATCGTATTTACAGTTTCTGGAAATTAATTGTGAGGCAGCTGGATTACTGAATCATCCCCTGTCTTCATGAAAAAACCCCCAGCTAGTTAAAAGGTCCTCCAGATAGTGGGAGAGATTGGGAAGAAACAAGCACCATGTTTTCACATCCCTGCTTCCTTTCTTTGGTGGCCAGTGACGAGACAAGCAGCACAGAGTTGACTAGTGTCGAATGTGAAGCGCATGATGAAGAGGAAGAGGAGCAGTAAGGCCGAGGTGATGAGTCCCGGGGAGGGAGAAAGGCCAAGATGACCAGCAGCTTTTGGCCAGAGCGACAAAATCCCCTTGGCAAAACATTTGTTAGCACCATTGTGTTTAAGAAAACACCTCGCACCCACCGTAATCTATACATAGATATTTATTATTTACACACCTGTACAAAAAAAAAAAAAGAAGAAGAAAAAAAATCCCTGCAGTGTAGTTGCTAGTTTTCTTGAGGTTCAGTGGCCCCAGCCCATGAGGTGGCTGACACGAGCTTTCTCAGTCATGCGCCGAACCCGTCCCGAACGGGACCTGCCCAGGTTGACCGGGTCGTCGTCCTTGGAGCTGTGAGCGTCGTCCTCAGACTCGTCCTGGTATGTGACTGTCCTGCGGCCTTGCTGGCGAGTGTTCACCTGATGGGGCTTGTTGCACATGCTGCTGCTTCCTGAGCCTTTGGCGGCAGCTACGACTGACGCCGCTGTTGACGTGCTATCCTCCTCCCCCTCCTCTTCATCTGGTTCCTCCTCTTCTTCCAACTCCTCCTCCTCCTCTTCTTCATCCTCCTCCTGTAACTCAGGTCTTATATTTCCTGGTTGTATTTGCTGTTCCTCTTCCTCCTCCTCCTCCTCCTCTTCCTCTTCTTCCTCCTCCTCATCCTCCCCTTCCTCCTTAACCTTTATGGGTTGCTGCACCCGTGCTTTCTTAGCACCCTTCATCGTGTCCTCCCCGCCTTTGTGTTTCCGCT